GGGGCTGTGCTTGTCTCCTCGGTGCAGGACGACCCCGTCGCATGCTCTCTCCACTCTCCTTCATTCGCTTGCCTTTTTTTTTTTTCTTTAAAAAAAGGAAAACTTGGGTTGTGCTCGTCTCCTCGGTGCAGGACGACCCCGTCGCATGCTCTCTCCAGCCTCTCGTGCTCTCTCCACTCTCCTTCATTCGCTTGCCTTTTTTTTTTTTCTTTAAAAAAAGGAAAACTTAAGATCTGTGGATTGATGTAAATTATTCCTCAGGCTGAGAAAGCGTCCTTTGAGTCCACCTCCTCCTCTTGCTCTTGTCCCGTTTTCTTTGCTTCTCGGTAAAACTCTAAAGCGTTGTCAGTAGTCACTGCTTCCTCTTTCTTGGTTCCTGTTCACGCCTTGCCAGTCTTTGAGTCCACCTCCTCCTCTAGCTCTTGTCCCGTTTTCTTTGCTTCTCGGTAAAACTCCTCTAAAGCGTTGTCAGTAGTCACTGCTTCCTCTTTCTTGGTTCCTGTTCACGCCTTGCCAGATTTGGATTGACAGGTGGCTGAGTGAACGGATGGACGAGTGGGGCTGGTGGCTGGCTGTGAGAGTGCGTGGCTGGTCCTATGAGTGAAAGGTGACTGGGGGCAGGAACCAAAAGTAGAGTGTGCAGGGTCCCCTTGCTCCGCTGGACAAATGAAAGTTGATCTTAAAAGTCGAAAGAGGCTCAGAGAGCTCCTGGGAGGTGAAGGGAAGATGATATTGGAATCTTTCCCAGTTGTCATTGGTCTTATCTGTGAGTCTGCCCTTCCCAAAAGCTAAGACATTTCATAAGGAATTGAGTCACGCTGTGGAAATTTCTCTGTGACTGTCCATTGAGAGATATTACCTAAGAATGCCAGGACCAAGAAGAGAAAGGGACTTGTGAAAGTCATCTACTTCACGAAGGTCATCTACGTCCTCCAGGCAGAAACATGTCCACCCTTCCGTGTTGCTGGTCACCCCCAGAGAGGGAGGCCCCACATTCCCACCCTACAGTCCAAAGTAAAGTCCAGTGATTCTGGCAATGTCAGGAAACATTCTGGCTGTCACAACCGGGGGATGGTGCTACTGGTATGTAGCAGGTAGAGGCTGGGAATGCGGCTAAACGTCCTATAATCCAGGCCCTGCACACGGAATTATCTGGCCAAAATGTTGATGGTGTCGAGGTGGAGAAACCCTGGTCCAACCTGAATCCCTGCAGCTTCAGTAGAAATTTAATAGACACATAATGTGAACTCATTAAAAATTTTAAATTTTCAAGTAGTCACATGAAAAAGAAAGAGGCAAAATTAATTTTAATATATCTCATTTACAATCACCAATATATCCAAAATATGATCATTTCAACACATAATCAATACACACAATTCTTAATGAGAGATTTGACTGGTCTCCGAAATCCCGTGTGTATTTCACACTCACGACCCGTCTCTGTTCAGACCAGCCCTTTTCAAGTGCTGCCCAGCCGCCAGCAGCCAGAGCAGCAGGCCTGGGGGGTGTCGTGTGTCTCTCCCATCCCTGTGGAAGTCGGGCTTGGGAAGGGGTCTCTGGGGCTGTGCTGACCCTCCCCTTCCCCCCCAGCCTGGCCCGGCAGCGGACTCTGGAGGACGAGGAGGAGCAGGAGCGGGAGCGCCGGCGCCGCCACCGCAACCTGAGCTCCACGACGGACGATGAGGCGTCCAGCCTCGCCCAGAATGGAGACCGGCCGGCGGCTGAGAGGTGCTTGGGTCAGGGTGGGGGCCAGGGCATCATTTCCCTATCCTGGGTGACGGGGGGGACTTAGCTGCCCCAGACAAACTGAGTGCCATATGTTTGGCCTGCCCAGGGAGTTGAGGCCCAGGGAACGTGGCTGGAGGGTGTGAGGATGAAATCCAAATTCCACACCTTCCCCAGACTGTTCCTCGGCCCTGCCAGGTTCAACCCTTGTCATAACAGTATTACTATTTGTCGAGATCAGCCACGAGCCAATACTTTGCTGGACATTTTGTGGACATGGCTTATTCAGTGCTCACAATACCCCTGAGAGAGAGGTCTTATTAACCCATTTTACAGATGGAGAAACTGGGTGGAAGAGTTCTTAGGTGACTTGCTGAGATCATGTCATCTAAAGAGTGGCAGGGCCGGAATTTTCATCCAGATCTGCCAGGCTGTCCTCCTCTAGCCCTGACCCTTCATAATCCACTTCCAAGGGGAGGAATATGGGGGCTAGTCTTGCCATCTAGATGTTAGAGTCATGACGGAAAAGAAGAGAAGGGCCCGGAATTTACTGAATGTCACCTGTGTGCCAAGACTGTGCTGGGCACCCTCATGTAATGTCTTATTTCACCTCCTAAGAAGCCCAGCTTGCAGATTTGAAAGCTGAGGCTCAGACAGTAAGTTAAGTTGCCTGAAATCACATGGAGGGCATGGTGGTAACGAGGGGAAAGAATCTCCTTTTGCTGCAGGCCAAGTGCTATGGGTTTTGGACAGTCCTCTCAGGTTGCTCTTGTTCCCCTGGAGAAGGGAGAACAGGGTGTGTGTCCTGGGCTGCAGCAACGCCTGTGTCTGCCACCTGGTCCCCGCTGCACCTATATGACTGACAGGAGATGGCACATCAGGAGCCATGGTCTCTACTCCCTGCTCCCCCAGCAATCGGTTGTGTGATTGTCGACAAATCCCTGAACACCTCTGGCCTTCATCTAAGATCTAAGGAGCAGGGACTGTGTTTATTCTTTTTGACCCTCAGTGCCCAGCACAGGGCCTGGCCCATAAACATAGTTGCTCAATCAGTGTTTGTTGATTGTATCTGAACATGGAATGGCTCATGACATAGGCCTTACAGGAGTTTATTAACTTTTTAAAAAAAGCATGGAGTGCTTTGTTCAAACGATACCTTGGAAACCCATTATGTAGAGTGAATGAAAGTGATCCTTATTTAGGTAGTGGTGGGGGAGGCCAGAGCCCGACTTCCTCATTTCCTTGGTAGCCCTGAAGTTACCTCCCAGTGGTCAGATACACCCAGGGTCCCTCCCACCTCTGATATCCTCTGATTCTATCTCCTACCCCCTCTCCCATCTCTTGACTCAGACTGCCGAGTGTGGAAGAAGCAGAGGTATACAAGCCACTGCCCCTAGCCTCTAAAGAAGAGGACAAAGACGTCCAGGCCATCCTCAGGTCGCGGCAGGAGCGGAGGCAGAGGCGGGAGAGGCTGGAGGCAGAGGAGGGAAGGGACAGCTCGGGCTCTGGGCAAGCCACGCAGCAAACCCTCGTGCCCAAGAAGGAACTACAGCCCCCATCTCGCCGGAAACTGAGCCAGGAGCAGCGGGGTCTCTGGGCCCAGGAGGAGGAGAGCTTGGCAGGCAGGGAGCCAGAAGCAGGGAAGAAGGGGGCTCCAGAGAAGACCCCAGTCTCAGAGAAGACATTGGTGCCAGAGAAGACATTAGCATCTGAAAAGGGACTGGTCTCAGAGAAAATCTCCATCTCCAAGAAGGTGCCAGCCCCAGAGAAAATATCCCCCTCTGAGAAGACAGCAGTGTCAGAGAAAAGACGCAGTTCAGAAAAGTCAGTTCCAGAAAAAACAAGTGTCTCAGAGAAGACTCCAGGCCATGAGAAAACATCTGTGTCAGAGAAGATAGCAGCGTCAGAGAAAAGCTCCATCTCAGAGAAGTCAGTTCCAGAAAAAACAAGCTTCTCAGAGAAGATGCAGGCCCCGGGGAAGAGGTCCGGGTCGGAAAGGAGACTGGTGTCTGAGAAAGCATCAATCTTTGAGAAGTCACGGGTTGCCGAGAAAATCCCAGCCACAGATACAAAGCTTACCCCAAAGAGGGCAGCAGCCTTAGAGCAGCCCCAAGCTGGGGAGCAGCCGGCCTCTGCAGGAAGCCAGGCCACCAGCAAGGAGCACAGAGAAGGCTCCCTCCCTGGGAAGCACACTCCTCCCCCGGCAGAGCAGGGCACACCAGACTCTCCGTCTGTGGCTGCCTACCTCCCGCCCATCACACTCCAGGTTGGCCATGCTCCTGCCCCTCATTTCCTTCTCTCCTACCTCCCTGGCTGGCCCTCCCTGCCAGTCCTGCCTGGGTGGTCTCTGGCTCCCCACTGCCTCCTGTCCTCCTGCCTTCAGGCTGGCCTTGGCAGTTTCTTCTCTCCCTGCTTGCTTCCAGCCACTCAGAATAGGGACACAGAGACAGGGGCAGTCTGCTGGAGCTGAAAGGGGCACCTGCTGTGTGGCAGGGAGCACCTGGTACCCTGCACCACATCCTCATCCAGGGCCCAGACTCCAGGACCTCTTTTGGGAAGCCTCAGATCCTTCCAGAAGCTCCCCTAGAAAGCTCTGCCTGGTGACCTGGCCCTAAGGCATTGTGTCCGCCAGCCACCCCCACACCAGATGAAGGAGGCAGGAGAGGAAGGCACAGGACTGTGTCATTCTGTCCTTCCTCCTGCAGCTCCTGGGATGAGCCAGGCCACACGGGGCCCCACGACCTGGCCCTAAGGCATTGTGTCCGCCAGCCACCCCCACACCAGATGAAGGAGGCAGGAGAGGAAGGCACAGGACTGTGTCATTCTATCCTTCCTCCTGCAGCTCCTGGGATGAGCCAGGCCACACGGGGCCCCACGGAGCTTGTGCTGGGGCCTGCCTGGGCCTGGTAGGGCCCTAGACCTCTTGTGTGACACTCCCCCTGCTTCATCCAGGTGAAAATTCCCTGCAAGGAGCAAGAGGCAGACGCATCCTCACCCACCCAGCTCACCTACAGCAGCTCCCTCAAACGCTCCAGCTTCAGGACTATCTCCTTTCGGGTGAGAGCCCAGGGCACCCTTGTCTCCGATCCATGGAGGGCAGCCTGAGGAAACCATCCATCACAGCGTAGGAGCCTTAGGTTAGGTAGCAGGGAGATCCTCTAGCTAGAGAGGGGCTTTGGATTCCCATAGGTGGCCAAAACCAGACAAGGTTGTATGAAATAAAGAACAGGATAATGACCTAGAAGGTGGGTGTGAACAAGCAACACCAGCCCCGCCTAGTGGGCAAGGCCAGAGCTGCAGGAGCCCCACACCCAGGAGGCAGGCTAGGGGCAGAGGGCAGCAGGGCTCTCCTAGTGCTCTCTGCGTGGTCCCTGTCCCAGTAGCACAAATTATGTGGATTGGGGAGCCTCATCTCGCCTTGTGCCAGTATTTACTCTTAATTCTTTTGTTCACTGGGCCATTCACTTGTTCATTGACTGACTGTATGTTGTGCCTGTGATATGTGCTAGGCTCTGGGGGGAGGCTGGAGGCCTGATGTCGATCAGGGCCCCACAAGGCTCATGTGCAGTGGA